TGATTTCTAAAAGTCTGGGTCTGGAAAAAGACAGGCTGTCTAACTCAACAAGGCCAACAAGAACACATCGTCTGAAAAACAGTCTGGGAACAAAACAAGTATATACTACACTGCCTGTAACACGAGATAAGTGGCACCAGCTAACAAAGCCCTAGAGCAGGGGGGTCTGAGTCCCAGTTTTGGGGGAACAGACCAAATTAGGAAAAGGCCCGGAAAGACCCAATTAGTATGTGCACATGTGATAACCTATGTGGATGTGTGACCACAGAGAGACAACCAACCAGAGATAGCCATGGATCAAAAATCATCAGAAGTCATCAGAGGGGAAGGAGAATACAAAAGCAGAGACTTGAGACTAACAAAGGGTCCCTCCCCATCCCTCTCCCCAAGAAGGTCCCTGAGAGGGATCCCCTTGTCCCCAAGAAGGGTCCCCGAGGTCACCATGGACAGAGGACATACCACCAGCCCGTCTCATCCACCCCACTGGAGGGAGGAGTATGGGCCTTGGCATCTCACCTCCAGACCGCTGACATGCTGACATATGACACCTAAGAGACAGCCTCAGAGTGAAGACTGCATCCTGGCCAGATGTATTTTGACTCTGATGACAGCCCTAGGATTTGGTAGATATAAAAAACTGCTTGACTGTTTGTATTGCTTCTTTTCTGTTATCACTGCGTATCAATAAATTTGACTGTTATCGAATGGAGAGGTCACGGTCGGTCTGAGGGTGGGTGGGTTCCACCCCTCTCCCCACCCGCCTCTAAACAAGGCCTCTGGGTCCTAAATCCAGAGCCAACACTGTGCAGAATACTGATATACAGTAAGGCTGTTAAACTGAAGTCCAGTTAACCAAGCTACCCTATGACTTGCAGTTCAATCATAGTATAAAGCACATGCAGCGGGTCTGTACTGTGAATTCCCCCTCCCTCCACCTATCCTCCTGGATCTCTGCACATCTGCACTGCAGGACAAAATCAGGCTCCAATCTATCAAAGTAGATGAGCTCAGGCTTAACTTCAAATACTTAAAACAGTCCCAGGGAAGATCTACAACATACACTGTGGGGCAATGCAGAGATACCCAAGCTAGTTCCAAGTGAGAAGCAGATCTAGCCTGCATGAAACTCTACGCTGCTACAGCTGGATTGCTTCCAAAACCAGTGCTAGGTTAGGTACCTCCATTCTACACCACATCCCTGGACATTTTCAAGAGCAGATTAAACAAACACTTGACTGAGACAATCCTGCCTTGAGGTCCACATGAGGTTGCTTCCAGCCCTATTTTCCTATGATCCTACTGTGCAGCGCAGGCACACCCCTTGACTTCAATGAAGCTACTTGGTAAGTATATGCTTAAATTCTTCTCTGGGCCAAGGCGAAGACTCTCCTTTCTTTAATGCTTTCCAGCAACAGTGACCCACAGTATTGTCTACTGTAAGGTGGCAAATCGACTCCTCCACCCAGTGATCTGAAGTTGTGTTTAGTCAAAGTTGGAGGTATTCTCCCCTCAGACCAGTAAGAACATGCAAACTGGACAACACTGTCTCCCATTCCAGAGAGCTACATGCAAGGAAAGGGAACAAAGGCTCTTGTAAAACACAGGAGCCATGCACGAAAGCCAAGAGGAATCATCAGGCCCAGGAAGGTCCCAACAGGTACTTTGTTAGTATGATGCAAAACAGCTACACAGAAGGCTATGACTAGTGTGATGGGATGGTCTAGTGGCTAGTGACAGTGACCTGGGATTTAGGACACATGAATTCCATCCCCAGCTCACCTAGAGCTCTTCTGTTACCCTGGGCATGTCTTTTTCCTGACCCTGTGTGTCAGCTGTTCAACTGTGAAATACAAATTAATCCTTCCCTTCCTCAGGGGGACATTGTGAGGCTAAAAATCCTGTAAAGATAGAATAGTGTTCAGCTAGCACAGCAATGGGGAGCATACTGCCCTTTTGAAAGATCAGAGCCACCCTGATTTCACCAGTTCAAACTGCGACTCGTGTCAGGGATCATGTTTTACCATCAGTACAGAGTCTCATGGGGGGAAGGTGCCAGGGAAGGACTAAACTGTTTAAGGTTAGGTTTGGCCATTTACTTTTTTTTTTTCTCCAGGACTAATCAAGCAGAAAAGATGGAGGAGAAACCTGCCCTCAGGCTGCAATCTGGAAGAGATATTGACATTCTCATTAGGGCAGGCTTCATTAAACAGCCCATCCCTGGCCTCAGCAACACATTGTCTCCAGCTAATTATCTTCTACCAGCAAAGAATTGTGCAATTCTTCAGATTCTTCCATTCTTCCCTCACAGATGGATCTATTTTCCCCTTTCTCCTTTGACTTCCCTGAAATTCTTTCCTGAGCTTCTGCAGAGAAGAGAATAGGAGGGCAGCAGATGAGGGAGGAAGGAACAGAGAATCCACACTCAGGGGGCTCATGCTTATTATATTCACAGCCACCTGCACTCATGCTTGCTAAATCAAAGCTAGTCGGCTGTGGTTTCACTGGTGGTGAGCCAAAAGCAGTGGCAAAAAAACACCAGTGTCTGCATACTGGGATGGTGGCATATCATGCAGAGAAAAGCGAGATGTCTGGGAATTAAGATACCGTAGAAGAATAAAAATGGAGGCAAACTGTATTTTCCTCAAATCCTTTTGATCGAACCTCACATCACTGGTCCATATAGACCATGCAGTAGTCTGCCTCCCCCTTTATGTCTCCAGTTTTGGGCTGTAGACACCCTGAGCTCAGACCTGCCCAGAGGGACTGGTTAGTGCTACTTTGCCTCCTGGATTCTGGAGGCTCCTGGGGACTGAATAAGTCTCCAAAATGAAACCAGAGCAAGCAGAGCTTATGCACACAGGCACAGTCTAGAGAGGACTTCATAGACTTTTTTCCAAGTTGATTAGTTAACCTGCATTAAACACGTGTGTGGACATGCATTCATAATTCACATGGCCTTCATTTCACTTAGTTTACTATAAGAATGGACAAATTTAATCTATGATATGTTGAATTAAGGCCACTTGAAATCTGAAAAGTGTCCACATACAGCTTCCAGGAGTGAGACTGGCTGCAGGGGGAACCCTTCCAGTCAGCAAGATTGGCTGCAGGGGGGACTCCTCCCTCCCCCAGTCACTGGGGGGACACTTGCCCCCCTAAGGTGGCCCCAGTCACCCATGGCCACATGCATATTTAGAACTAGCCCACTTTTAAAAAGTCAGCTCAGATTCACTTTCCTGAGTGGTCCTGAGGGCTTGTCTACATATGCACAACTTCATTTTTCCACCACGCAATGGCTCTCTATAGAGCTGTCCGGCTACTGAATGTGGCTGGATCAGTGGGTCCTAGACACATGTCTAAACCCACAGAGTATTCACATGAACTTATGCTACCAGCCAACCTTCACTATGGTAAGGGTATTCTTTGGTGAGAGTTTGGTTAGTTTTGCAATCCTCAGGCTCTCAGAGGTGGCATAAAGGGGCAGCCAGAGATCACAAAGCAAGGGCCCACGCATCAGAGGACAGTGAAAAAATAAGTCTACCCCCCTAGGCAATCAGAGAGGAAAATCCAAAGCTAGCTATCAGTGTATGCCCCACAGTGCAGAGTACCAGTGCTCTTAGGACTCCCAGAACGGTCACAACCCTGAACTCAGCCAGTCCCTCTTATTTCCATGGTGCTGTTGCCTCCCCGCCCTCCCCCCTCCTCCAACTAACAGCAGCAAGTGAGAAACGTTCCACAGGCAATGTGAAGTTTAATACCGGGACAAGGCAAAAGCATTTAGGATTTCAGTGAACTTTGATTAAGAAACGGAGGTTCGGCAGCTTGCCTGTGAAAGACTCACTAGAGGAATGGCTGCTGTGGAAGTTAGGCACATAAATATCGATAAAAAATATCCATTTAACCTGTTGTAATTACAACAGTAAAATGATTAATTGCTAAGGGAAGGTGGGGCGGGGGGTGTGGAGAGGAGGGTCTAGTACATAATAGCTAGGCTCTGTGGACCTGATGCAGCCACTTGCAGCCTCCCAATGCCTGCTGCGAGCAGCCTAGACTCCATGGGGGGCAGCAAGGGCCTGCTGGGAGCCCAGGCTGCTCGTGGCGAGCAATAGGGAGATTGCAAGTGGCTGCACTGGGATGTGAAGAGCTTAGCTACAGGTACTAGCCCCCTTTGCTCCTCCTTCCTTCCCTCCTGCCCTGCTGACTTCTGGTTCCTGCTGAGGCATCACATGGCTTCCCTTTCCCCCCTTCCCTGCCAGACTGTGCCCCAGCTAAACAATAACCAGTTATCATTAGGCTTATCAGTTAAACGGTTAATCGCTTAAACATTGACATCCCTAATGGAAACATAGCCTGCTGCTAATCAATAGATCTCCTTTCAAGAAACAAATTCTCAGCAGATCCCATAAAAAGGGGCATATTGCACATCAGCCACTAAGCATGAGGCAGTGCAACTTCTAACAACCTCTCTGAGGTTTCTGGGTATACATCAGTTCTTCAGTCGTGACATCTAGACTAGAATAATGGCCCCTGCAGTTTTACCCAGAGGTGGTATTCCTCTTTGCTCTCTGGCCTAAGTTGTTACAGAGCACTGCTGCAAATAGTTGAAATGGCACCGTGAAAATGGCTTGACTCCAACAGAGGGTGAAACCATTTCCAATTTTAATTCTGTAAGGTGTTTGGGGGCTCCCAAAAGGAAGGACACCAACTTTCTCAATGGTGAATCACTGTCACTACCACCACATCAGGGAACTCTTTACAGACAAGGTACATTAGATGTTGTATGAAAATAGAGAAGGGAGATTTTTCAGGAACACAATGGTAACATAAAGGTCATATATTTCAGAAGGCACTGAGGCACCTAAATCTCACCTATTTCAAGAGATATTAAGCACCTAAATGTATTTAAAACTCTGGTCCCACATCCCTCTGAATGTAAATGAAGTAGGATGCCTGTCACCCAGAGAAAGGCACCACATCTTTGAAGATAAGAGAGCACGTACCATGACTGAGATGTGGAGGATCCTTAGCTCTTCTTCCGCTGACTCTGTCTGGGGTTCTTCAGTGGGGTCCAAGCCAGGAAGACTGGGGGCACCATCTTGGTGGTGGATATGGAAAAGCAAAGTACCATTTTCCAGCCACTGCTGCCTCCAACGCACCAAGGGAATGTCCTCCGTGTTCCCAGAGATCTCTGGAAAAAGAAAACAAGGTTGATACATTAACACAGAGATGCCATGCAAAAAAGCTTGTAACCCAGTGGTTTTCAAGCTTTTTAGATTCAAGGCACCCCTGTATAACTTGAGCAGCATCCCATTTTAAAGACTAATTTATTACAGTGCTTACCTCCTTGCAGAAGAGCCAGGCAGTAGAGTCAAGAAGCAGCCATGCAGGGAGAGCCTGAATCTGCTCTTATCTCCTCACACCTCACTTCTCTCTGTACCCTTCAAAGGATCTCATGGCACTCCAGGGTGCCCCATCATCCTGGCTGAGAATCACTACCCTAACCCAGTCTGCTTCTTTCTAAGAAATCAATACAGTGAGTGGCCTACTTCTGGCTGAGCCAGGCACAAGCAGGCCAGCTGGGGAACATCAAGCATATCAGGTCAGCAGAAAACTGTTGCACTTGAGCCTTGCAAGCTCACTACCATCCTTTTCACTGCATGCTATCAATGGCTCATATAATCCCAAAGAGCAAACACGTAATTGCTTCCCTCCTCTAAACTGCAGTGTAAGGTAGCTGCAACTGATAGGAGGATTTACCAAATATACCTGCCAAAAAGCCTGTCAGTTATGGCTGTGAAGGTACCTGGCACTTACTATCTATTGAGAAAAAGGAGGCCTGGCAGCATATTTCTGGCCCTCATTCAGCAAAGACCCAAAGCATATGCTTCTACTCCCACAGCATTCAGGGGGAATGTGCAGCAACTCACTTTGGACACAGAGACATGGAGCTGTGCTGCATTTTCAATTTTAAGATGACAGGAGGAAGGACTCTTGCTAGCCAAAACAGGCCCTCATGGCAGAGAACAGACAAGGCACTCTTAGTCTCATCTCCACTGAAGCACAGCAGAAAAAAAGGCCTAGTGTTCCTTTGAGTGCTAGTCCGTGGAAGTCCATGGCAGGCTGAAAGCTGACAGGTAAGGTACCTTGGGACTCCCCAGTAATGTTAAGACTGCCTCTGTGCAAGCAAAGTAGCTCAGAGCACCACCCGCCTCCGGTGCTTCCTCACTCAACCCCAGCATACCTTACATAAAACACTTTGGGACAGAGCATCAGACAGTATAAGCCAGGAGTGGCCAACCTGCAGCACAGGTGCCACAAGTGGCACAGGAAGCCTCTGTGGGTGGCACATGGTCCACAGTAGCACAGGGAGGGGACAAGAAACAGTGGCAGATAGACCAGGGAGCAAAAAGCAGAGTATCAGATCAGGTTGAGGGCACAGGGAAGGAAGCAGAAAACAGCACAGGCAAAGGAAAGGGATTCAAGTGGCACTCAGGGAGGGTGCAGGGCAGGTTTTGTAGCACACCTGCCAAAAGAGTTGGCCCTCGCTGGTATAAACTGTCATAGTTCTATCAGTACCAGTTTCAACAGAGCTACAAGACTTGTACCAAGACAAACTCACCCAATATCTCGAGTGCTGCTTTTTCCTAACACTAATCTGAGACACCGACTCCAACTGCACTTACACCTAGAAGGGACAGTCTAAAGCAACTATGCTCAGCCTCTGACCCCAGTGCTGATTTGGCCCGTGAGACTGTGTCATCTGGCCATTCCCCACAGGTCCAGAAATTTGGCAGAAGGGATAACAGTGGCAGCATTAGTTGCCACAGCTTTGAAAGCCATGGCAGTTAACACTGCCATCAGTCCCCAGCCCTATTAAATTTCTGGACCAGTGGGGAACCACATGAGCTGGATGATTTGGTCCTGTACATGCAGACCAGTCCTGCGCCACTCATCCAACCTGTGGGGCTGGAAGGGTGAGCACCACTGATCCAGAGAATGTATCCAAACCTTGGAGCAGAGAGAGCAAAGCATAGCATTCATCACCCTTGAAAAAGACCCCCAAGGATGGGAGAGGTTTTGGGGGTCTGATGAATACTTTCCTCCATCTCCTTTCCCAGCAGGCAACCTTGCATGAGAGGGCCTTGTTACATGGTAAGTTTAGGTGCCTTCTGGAGCTCTTAACCCCTAGACTGGCTGCACATTAACACCTTTTAAGTGGCTTAAAGAACTCATTATTAGATTTAAAGTTATGCCAGTGCAGGATTATCTCCAATCTGCCTAATTTTGTTCCTGTTCCATTACTATCTGGCCACTTCCTACAGCTAATCTGACCAAGTTGAAGTCCTCCAGGATCCCAGAATGCCGGGCCCCTCCTGACTCAGGGCAAGTACAGACACTGGGGCACAGCAGGGCTGGGCACAGTGCCTCATGCCTCACACCCCAGGGGTGTTGGACAGAGCGAGTGACACAGCCCTGGAGTGCCCAGCAGCTGTGGTACCTGCTGCCACCACCTAGGCTGGCTCCGCTCCTGTCAGCAGTACAGGGGGCTATGATCCCACCAGCAAGGGCACAGGGGAGCGGTGCTGCCTGAACTTCAGAGAAAAAAGGACTGGGCCCCTCAGAGTGAACGAGCTCCAGGGATGCAGCCTGGCTCCGTACTGAGAGCGGTGCCACCAGTCTTACGCCCTGACAGCCCTGCTCTCAGCACAGAGCCACCAGAGTTTGATGAGACCAGAGAGCCCCAAGGAAGCAGCTTGGTATCACAGTACTGCAGCAGCTCTGTACTGACAGCGGGGCTGCCAGGGCTTAAGCACGACAGCCCTGCATTCAGTTCAGAACTACTGTGCCAGTTTCAGCGAGACGGGAGATCCCCAGGGTCTCGCTGCAACTGACACAGTGCTGGGCCACTTTCTGCCCAGCAAGAGCGGCAAACGAGTCCTGCTGCTGCTCACCAAGCCTCTAGTGGCAAGTCTCAGCTGTGTGGGTGAAGGACACTCAGAACAGGTTTTTCACCTTACCATGCAACTCCTCCGCTAAGCCAAACAACACTAAGCCAATTAACATTTGTTTGGCTTAGCATAAGGTCTAACAAGGCCCAGACTTATACTTAGCCAGTGGTTGCTGCTGCTGCCTGCAAACATCTGACTTTTGGCTCATGTAAAAGCCAACAGGCTACCAAGTATCAATTCACCCAGGCACAGCCTAATCTGTTTATTTTACTAGTTAAAGGCATATCTAGCTAGAAATAAAACTCTTTGTTGTAATGCTATTTGCAAAAGTCTCCTTCATAAGAGAAGCAGTGAATGCCATGCACTAGTTGAGCAACTACAGCATGATCAAAATCACTGTTCCACACAAAATAACATTGTCAGCCTTCAGATAAGCCATTTTTCTTGCAAGGGCTAGAGGGGTGGAGGGTGGGGGAAGAGGTAGTGTGCCCTACCCTACCTCGAAATTTAACATGGTATAATAAACTTAACGGCAATCCAAGCAAGCATGCAGTGTATTAACTCTAAGTGCTCTATCTTTAAATTAAAAAAGAGGAATACATTCTTACCTGTACAGCATGGCTGGTGCTCTGCTACAAAGCTATCAAGGTGGCAAAGGGGTGAAAGCCCTAAAGCTACCTACAGCTAGTAATGACTTTTTTTTTACCTCCATAGGAAGCAGAGGTCTGTGTTACAGCAGCAGATGATTGATATTTTATTCCCCTGGCTGCATATGTGTTTTATCTAGAGACTATGGTTACTGCAAGATGGAGCATTTTAATTGTTATTTAGATCAGCAAAACAGGAAGCCTTGACTTAAATAATTGATTTAAATCCTGGTTAAACATGAACTTTGAAACTTTCTTTCTTTTTAAATGGCATGATCTTTAGAACACTTTGAATTTTACAACCCAGTATATCTTTTGCACTACACTTCCTGCTCTTTTCTTGCTAGCTCTACACATTTAACTTCTTCACTTATTTACATTTTAATACACTGGAAAATGGCAAAACAATGTTTTTGTTTTGGGGGTTGTTGTTTTTTTTCTAAAACACATTTGTCAGGATTTGCGTCAAGCTATATTTGAATGGAACCTGGAATTAGATTAAAATGCACAGAAGACATCATTTTGTTTATTTAATTTATTTATTTATTGTTATTAAGGGAAAAATAAACTAGAATTTTCTGGATATGGCAGGGGAGGAAGGGAGAGTGTATCTATCTGCACCTGTTCTGCATTTCAAAACTAATCTGATTAAATTAAAAGAAATATTCAGTACAATCTCCAGTTCTTTTCCTCTCACCATGGGCCAAATTATCAGAGGCATTTACATGCCTAAAGATACAGACAGATGCCTAGTGGGATTTTCAAAAGTGCTTAAAGCAGGGTAAGCTTATAACTCCAACTTACTTTTTGATTCCCTTTGAGTTCATGAAAGGGAAACATCTAACCTGCTCATGAACTTTTGAAAATTCCACCAGGCACTTACATGCATCTTTAGGCAAGTAAATATCTTTTGAAAGTCTGGTCACATGTGCTTTGGATTTTAAAATTCGCAGCTCTCCTCCTCTCCCACCTGGCTTTTTATTCATAGGCTAGAAGAACGCAAAGCTTCCCTGCTTTTTTTCAACTCCCAATTGGTTTCTTAACTTTGAATGAACTAGCACAACATGAAGAAAATATCTTCCCTGCACCTGCTAGCTAATGTGAAATTAAAAGTAATTAAGGCAAAAGCTTTTATGCACAACAGGAACTGAAAGTACTGACATTTGGAAAAAATGTAAATACCGGCATTTCCTCCATTGTAAAAACTGAAAATAATAGATACTTAGTGCAGCACATAACATTATGACATTTATAAAGTTTGATTTGTCCTCAGAAGTTAGAGATATATTTCATCCCAAATTCTGTATATTATTGAGTAATATGCCCCCTTCAACTCATTAATAGTTGATGAGAGCTCATCGGTAGAGATAATTTAAATGATTAATAGAGTACAGTAAATTCAGGTCTTAACACAGGTTGTCATAAGTTCAAATTTATTTTAAAGAGACAAATGTGGCTAGATTTTTAAAAAACTGATTTACATGAAAATGAATTTTCTTTTAAAAAAAAGCCTATTTTTTTATCCACTAAGCCATGTTGTATCCTCTTTCTACATACACACATACCACCACCCTGTCCGTATACACTTCTTACGCAGAGGCACCCCAATAACTAGAAAATACTGAGACAAATATAGCTAAAAGATTCCTCTTCACAGGTTGTGTCTACATGTGCATTTAAGTGCACCTAAATTTAACGTGCATTAGCTTAATGCACACAGAGTTAATGCGCTTTAAAGTGTCTACATGTGCGTTAATGAACTTTAACTATTTGCACCTAAATTTGATATCTGCGTTTGCAGGTATCAAATTTAGGTGAGACTAACCCAAATTCCCCATTTTTAAAGTGCATTAAAGGCGCACACATGTAGACATGCACACTTAATGTTCATTAACTTAGGCTAAAGTGCATGAAAGCATCATGTGTAGACACACCCATAATGCACCTATACCAATGGCTGTGCACATGGTCAGATCTAGGATTTTGAAAAGAGAGGTGTAGATGGTGTGATGCATCAGCATATATAACATACCATATATTGGTGTTTTTCTACAGTTCAAGGGAAACTAGAAACTTCACTCATACACTGGGGGGCTAGCAGAATATTATTCAGATTAAGATGAAAGCAAAAATAAATATAGCAACTGGAACGTGCACTAAGTTGTTAGGTTTAAAAAATGCAACACTAGGCAAAAAATAGTCAAAAGATACTGTGTCTTTAATTCTATGGCCATTATAGTGAGATGTACGTCTCTTATTCCAATACACAAAACAAACTATTGCCTTCCTGAGTATTTTGACAATCCCTCCAATACTCCATTGTCAATCATTTCCATGCCTGAGTTAATATTACCACACCTGAATTAAGTTTTTTTAGCTAGAGTTTAAAAAGTCTGAAAGTCTGTGAAATAGAAGAGCAACATTACCAGGAATAGCTAACAAATAGCAGCATTGCAGAAGAAAGGATAGTTTGAACAGTGGAGCATTAAGAGCCTTAAAAAGGATAGAAGAGTGTTAACATCTGTGGAGTGGAGGAGATGACTGCAGGTGTGTCTACACAAGACTTTTTACTGTGCACTAAGCATGCACGTCTACATGTGAGCATGCTTACTGAGCAGTAAATGGCACTACTCATGAGTAAATTTGCTACCTGCGCATGCAAGGAGCAAATTTACTTTTGAGTAGTTACTGTGCAGTAATGCATGTATAGATGCTAACTGGGAGCAGATTTGATCTAGGGCAGCTCCACCACTAGAGGGGCAGCCTAAGGCTAGCCCCAGGGCTCTAGGGCTGGGAGCCTCTCCTGACCCAATGGCTGGGCTGGCTCTATGGCAGCCCCTGCCTCAGGCCCTTAAAAGCCTGCAGGCATTTTGAGCCCCGGGTCACATGTGAAGGGAACCTGAGGCAACTCCAGGCCCCTGTGTGCCCCTGGACAGGCTGCAAGCCAACTGTACCAGCCTGCCTGCACCCCAGCACAGCTGCCTGGCACCGCATTGCCACGTAGCTGCCAGGCCTGTCAGCACCCAGACCCAGCTGCAGGCAGCTCCCAGCCACTGGGGCCAGATCCAGCTGCCTGCAGCCCACCCCCAACTGCCTGTCTGGAGCCTGCAGGTGCTGTGGGGCACTGCCTCACTGCACAGCTGCCAGCCCCACCCTATGCCCTTGTGCTAGGCACTACAGGGAGCCAAGTGGTAAGCTTTGCACTTTTGGAAGGACCAGCCCCACCGGAGCCCCTGCCCCCCATCCCTGCCTAGGCCAGCCACACTCCCCTGGCCCCCGGGCTCCCCACCCCACAGCATACAGGAAGGCAGGAGACAGCACAAAACTTTATTGAGCAGCCTGTGCTCCCTCAGCTAGGCAGGCACAGGGCTCTCACATGCCAAGGAATGCATCGATGCTAGTGGCAATGTCTTCCTTGCCTGCAAGAGGCAGAGACATATAGCACAACCACAGATAGCCCTCCATGTGGTGGCAGAGGTTGCAGGGCAGCCTGGGCTTGCCCCCCATGCTGTCGAAGTTCAGGGTCCTGTGCCAGTTGTGCAGATGCACCTGGGGCAGCATGGCAATCAGCAGCAGCAGGGCATAGTGGGTCAGGCACTCCTTGGTCTGCCAAACAGCTCCTTTCGCAGTGCCCAGGATACATGCAGCAGAGGTATGCTTGGACAGCAGCACTGGTGCAGGAGGGAGGGATGGCTGGGCACAGTATACCTCCCCGGAGAGCCCCCCTGGGTGGAGGCCCAGCACCGCCTTCACCAGCCAGGAGCCTCTGCCCCAGACTCCACCCTGGGTCCCCCACCACTCAGCCCCCCTGCCTGGGCCCAGGCCTGCTGTTTGCCCCACCTCCACACAGGTGCAGAGCCAGACCTGCCTGCAGTGGGGCCAGAACTGCACACCAGCCCTGCTGGCCCTGGACACTGGCTGCTGGGTGGGAGCCACCAATACACTGGCCACCACTGCCCCTGAGCAAGCTCCCTGCCCACCAGGCTCACCATGGCATATGCACCCATGGAGGACTAGCCAGAGGCTGCTGGCTGCTTGTCCCCAGGCTCTGTCCCCACCCCACGCTGGGAGACTACACAAACCACACTGTAAATAGTTCACACAGGGAAGAGAGTGTTTTATTGTTGGTGGGTGGGGTGGGTGTTGGAAGGGCTCTGTTGCTGGGGGTGGGGGAAGGGGGAGAGAGACTCCGTTGTGGGGGACGCTCTGTTTGATGTGAGAGAAATAAAAACTTGTTCTTCTGAAACATGCCTGCAGTAAGCATGGTGCTAGGGGTGAGTGGGGTGTCCATGGGTGGCTGCCCAGGCCGGCTACAGCGGAGAGTGCAGGAGAAGGTGATCAGTCAGCACCTCTTGCACCTCATGCCCTTGCCCCCAGGGGCATATGTGCAGCTCTCCTGGGGCCTCAGTAGGGGAGGACGGCCCACTGCTATATCTGACACTACAGCTACAGTGCTCCCACTACCAGGTGTCCTCCACTCACCATGCCTCCTCTACCCAGGCCTCACAGAAGAGCTCCTCCCAGGCCTCACAGATGTTATTCATTATGCAGGCTGTAAAGATAACCCAGGGGTGGTTGTCCTTGGCAAATTGAGGAGAGCAATGAGAGTGTGCTAGCATCCCTCAAGGTGGCCAAAGGCACACTCCACCAGCATGTGGGTCCAGCCCAGGCACTGGTTAAAGTGGGTCTGGTGGGGGTCCAGCTGGTCAGTGTAGGGCTGCCTGAGCCATGGCAGAAGCAGGTAGGTAGGGTCCTCAACATGAGGAGGGGCAGAACCACCATGGAGGCTAGCTGCAGGTCCAGCACCCCTGGCGCAAAGCAGCCCCTCTGCACCAGTGCTGACAGGATGGAGATGCAGGCATTGTGAGCACTGCCCACCTAGCCAGCACTCACATTCATGAAGTTCGATGACAGCCTGAAGCACAATGGAGTGAAAGCCCCTCTGGCAACAGTAAGAGCAGTCACCATGGGGGCAAGCGGTGATGGGGTTGTGGGTCCCATCCAGGGCCCTGAGGCCCTGGGGGAGTCCCAGGGCACAGAATCCCGCCACCACTCCATGGGAACATGTATGTGGAGCACCGTGTGCCCCAGCACATCCCGGAGGGTACCACAAACCTCCAGGATTGCCTCCCTGGTAGTAGCCTTGCCCACCCCAAAGAGATGGCCCACATAGTGGAGGCTGGCAGGCATGGCCAGCTTGAGCACATCAAGGGCCAGCTGGGTGTCCATGGGGAAAGGTAACTGCATGGCAGTGTCCTGCCACTCCATGTGTGGCCAGAGATTCTCCAGGAGGTCCCAGAAGGTGGCCTGGGTCATCCAGAATGCCTTCAGCCACTGTTCATCATCCCAGGTCTGCTACTCTATGTGAAACCACCAGTCCTGGCTGACCCAGAGGCAGTGGGGCTGGAGGCCCAGGAGAGTAAGGGCAGCCCCAGCAGCCCATCATTGGCATCCCTGCCAGGGTCCATCCAGCAGGATAACCCAGGCTGCAGTTGGATGGCAATGGTGACACTGGGATGGCCCACTGTGGCTACACAAGCAATCACTGCACATGGGAGAGCCAGGAGGGCCCAGATGGCTGTGGGCCAGCCGGCAGTCAGCACAGCTGGCCAGCAAGGCCAGCACAGTGGCCAGCAGGAGCCCAAGGCACTGGTCATCACTGCCAAAGGTGGGGGCTGGATCAGTCATGGCGCAGGGAGGCAGAGGTGATGAGGAGAAGGCTGCCACATGCTGACCCTGCACTGTGTGTGCTGCTCCTGGACAGGGAAGTGGCTGGCCAGGGAGCAGAGAGCAGAGCCACCTTTTCAAGATGGCTGGCAGCTGCAGCTGGAGCTTCAAATTCCCCCCAGTGGTGGCAGAGGCCCATTGCAGGTCCATGGGAAGTGGCACCAGTTTGCTGCCAAGAGCAACAAATCTGCTGCCACATCTCTGAACACATAGATGCCTGCCCGGCAGCGTTTACTTGCAAGCAGTTTAGTAAACTGATCTCTTATCCAAATGCATATGTAGACATGCCCAATGAGTCATGAAGTCAACTGACTCTCTCAACACTGCCTGAATAGAAATGTTGCCCTCTGAGGCAGTTGGTTTTAAAGTTTGGATGGAGCAGGTATCAAAGGTTGGGTGCAACTGGATCCTCTCCAGGCTGTGCACATTAATGACCTATCGTTTCTATCAAGACAATGTCAGAACTAACCTATGACTTTCTGCCTCTGCCCCTGCCAACAACTGCCTTGTACATTCCCCTTCCCATTGGGGATAATGTGATCTCCAAGACCATGACACGACAGTCCACTGGAAAAGAAGATCACTGATCATGAGTCAGTTCCTCACCTGGTCTGAAATGGGTGCCAATCCTCTGTGGAACTGCACCTACAGAAGATCTGACTGCACAACTCCATATGATGCAATAGATTCGAAGCTTGGTAGGAAAGAAGCTGAAAAGCCAGTAGAAGGGGAAAGAAAGAATAATTTCACGTTCAAAGTTTGAAAGATATTGATGACAGGCCTGGTCCCCACATGCCGTTCATTAAGGCCTTGGAAGTGAAGCCATTAGCATGGTATTAACTTCTAACACCTATGTTAAAAAATAGCCTGCATGAGTCAGGGGTTAACAGCAGCAGGAGACCACTAATTATCCTGCGAAGTGTTAGCCTGGTATCAAATGTGACCTGTGTCCTTAACATCTACAGGAATATCAGCCTCAGCAGACCCTTGCTTGTTCTATAAACACAATGGCAGCCACAGAGTACTGCCCAAAACATCTGTGAAAGGAGAGATGGGGAGAAACAACAGAGAAGAGCAAGCAAGTAGGGCGAAGAGAGAGGAAGAGAAGTGTTAGAGAAGGAAGAAAGGCAAACTGAGGAGAAGAACAAATATTTCTTAGGGACTTGTTACATCTTACACTGTAAGCTGCACAAACGTTAATCAGCTTAGTGTTGATCAGCTTAGTGAAGCAGTCACACCTTAAGGAGACAAACCTTCTCTGACTGTCCCCCATCTGCATAGCTGTGAGTTGCCAATAGAGATTTGGTAAGCAAGGGCAGGACTAGGAGCTAGGGATAGGACCAGCTTGCTGCTCCTACTGGGCAGAGAGAGTCCCATAGCCCTGGAGCTCCTGGCAGCTCTGCCCAATGGGAGCAGCGACCCAGTCCAGGCTCTGCTCGGCAGGAGCAGCAATCACTGCAGCCCTAGCGTTGTATTGAAGCTTTCATCAAGGTAAAATAGTTGATGTCATGGTGCTTTACTTTTCTTTTTCTTTTTTCCCTATCTCCCCCACACCCTGACATATTTCTGGCCACACTTTATCACGAAACTGATCTGGTTTAAGTATTACTTCAACCTAAAAGATCAATATTTATTTTCTTTGAATAAAAGGCTATACTGTGTTTCTTGAACTTTTTTTTTTTTTTTTGGTTCCTCCATTTTCCCTCTAGTCTCAATTTAGGGTTTTTCTTCTCTAGGATATGTGTTATCTTTGTAAAAATGAACACTGTTTTCTCTGAGTCTGATGTTAATGAAAAAAATGGAAACAGAATACAGTTTTACTGGTTTTGGAAAAAGCCTCCACTCTAGTCACCCCATGTCCTTTTTGCAAGGCGTCAGGTACAGAGCCAGACCTGAGAGTGGTCCCAAGCTGTTGGTGTTGCTGCTACTTCTCTTGGACAGCAGGGAGCTGGTGGTTTCAGGTCCTGTTCGCAGTAGTACAGGCCTGCAATATCTGGGCCAGGGCCTGAAAACCAATGAAGTAGGGAGGCTGCAGGCTGGGTCCCTGCTGTCACTTTGCCTGTCGGTGGAAGGCATGGTTGCAGGGGGAGCCCAGAGAGTAGGGGCTCTGAACCCAGGGCTGTGTTGCTCGCTGCTCCCACCAGCAGAACCCAGACTGGCTTGCTGCTTCTGTCGAGCAGAGCAAGCAAGCTCCAGGGCTGTGGCACGTGCTCTGCCCAGTGGGTGCAGCAAGCGGCTCCAGGTAGCAGTGGGAAGCACTGCAGTCGTCAGGAGCTCCGGGGCTGCAGAGCTCACTCTGCCCCGCATGCTGGGAGGTGAGGTGCCATGCCCAACCCTGCTGGACCCCACCATCCTCACTTGCCCTGACTCAGGATGGGTCACTGCTTCCTGGGATGTTGGAAGATTTTAATTTGGGCAGAACAGTTGTAGGGAGTGGCCGCACCTTGATGGAACAGGAGCAAAATTAGGCAGTTTAGAAATTATCCTGCCCTGGAGTTGCGTAACTTTAAGCCAAATAATGAGTAGATGTTAATGTGCAACCAGTTCAGGGGTTAAAAGCTCCAGAAGCTGCCTAAAATTACCATGCAACAAGGCCCTCCATGTGATATCATTTATTGGACCAACTAGGTGGTTGCAATAAAGACAGACAAACTCAGCCCTAAGGAATAATGTTTGACATTACATTACATTAACACTTGTCTAACTTTATCCCAAATATACAGCTCGTCCAGTAAAAGATCTCACACTAAAAAATCCTTGCCCGTCACACAATTTCCAGACCAGCATGGCTACACTATCACTCTTAGTGGAAAAAGGAAGGGCAAAAAGAGGTAGTCCAACTAGTCACAGGAGCCTCTAATTTACATCAGCTGAGGAGCCAGCTCACTTAACTTGTTAATACAGTCACCTTATGAACCCTTGCTAAATGAGGAAATAGTTTTTCTTTAACCAACTTTTGACAAAAAGCACAGTAAAATGAATTTTGAAAGACTTACTAAAAAGATCATATCAACCATTTCAATGAACAACTCATTTTAGAGCCACAGATATCTCAGGCAGGACCCTACCAGTCCTCTAAGGACACATCTGAAGCCACAACACCCCAAAATCAGCTTCTCCTTCAGTACCACAGGAGTGCACAAGAAGCCAACACACACTGCACTTGGGGTCAGTGCCAGCTGTTACAGTGTGAGCAAGACCCAAAGTCAACAGGAACTATAGGAGCAGACTCTTCAAGATCTAGGGTTTCTTTAGTACTCTAAAGTAGCAGCACACTAGCAATTGCAGCATTAAAATAATGTCTCACTGGGTGTGTCTACACAAGACGCTGCTGTTCAGTGGTTACTGTGCATTTATTTAGTACTTGTATGATCAAGTACTAAATAAATGTGCAGTAATGGGAGTTACTGTGCAGTAGAGCCAGCAAGCACCTTTTTAGTGATGCTACTGCGCAGCAGCCTAATAATACTGCACACTAGCATATTAGCACTGTTTGTACTGTGACATGCTACTGCACAGTTAGCATCCTGTGTAGCCGTGCCCAGTGAGAAAGGGTTCCTTCAAGCTTCGCTGTTTTCTATGTTTCTCTCTGTCTCATTGCATTTTTCACATCCAGATCTGAGAAGGTGCACTTTTTTTTCTGTCATATTGGCAAACTCCTGGTCTTAATGGGAGTTCAAGCTCTAACTGAAGAATTTGACTCTAGGAGACAGATCAACCTTGGAGATTTTACGGAAACAAGAATCTCTAGAAAGTTCTTGAACATGTAGGTGAAATTCCCCCTCCGCTTCCTCCAACAGAATGTTGTTTTCTCTTT